AAAAAAAAAAAAAAAAGAAAAAGAATTTACGTAAAGTTTGTCGATAAACACTTCATTTGCTTGTAAATGAAAAAAAAAAAAGAAAACGTATGTGAAAACAACTTGATTACTTGTTTACGAAGAATTTCGAAAGACTTATTCGACAAAAGCACAAACTTCACTTAGCCACGGAAAATTAATGCAAAGAATTAAAAATGTGGTTTCATTGAAACTTTGTTGTATTATTATTATATTATTATTATTATTATATGATTCTACTGTTCTACCGACATTAAGTTTGCATTACCTCAAAACGAGGAATTAAAAATACTTCCTATTGTGTTATTGTAATTAACGAAATTTCACTTTCATCCATACAATGTTTATTTAGAATTCTGTAATATAGCTTTAGCTTGTTTTAGTCGAAAAATTTATGTAACATATTCTTCTTCTTCTTCTTTTTTTACACACCTTGTATATCATATATTGTAGAGATAAATGTTAGAGATACAGGTACAGAAGTGAAGCTCTTGATGTATTTTTCTAACGTATAACGTACGTTTCCGAATATTTTTAATTTCTTAGTATCTCGAAATCGTTTGAAACTACAAAAACATTGTCGTAGAAACAGAATGTGTGAAAATCTCTGAGTGAAAATATGCATATTGCTTCTCTCGGTAGAAGCATTTTGTGAGAATAAGATGTCAATAAGATTGTTGAAGTTGACAATAAATAATATTCAAGTTTCCAAGTCCCTTGAATTGAAGACGGTACATTGCGTTCTAATTATTCTACAACTAGAGGAGATAAAAATTACAATGTTAAACACTGATATACGCGAATTAGGATTTACGTGCACTCGACTATTTATTGTTAACAAAAAAAGAAAAAAAAAAAATCTGAAAATTTAACTATTTATCTGTTCATTTTTTGCCATTGTGTCAATTTGATACTAAGGGCGAAATGAAGTTTAAGAAAAATGGCAGGGACGGATAAGATCTGAATCTGAAGTTTTCTGAATCTCACATGTCACTCCATTCAACGCTCAGTGCTGGCTAATGTTAATCGATCAAGTAGTTTCTCGATTTAGTTTTCAATTTGTCATTCAGTTAATTTCACTTTTCAAGCCCGTACATTTAAATTTATTAAATTTATTAAAAAAAAAAAAAAAAAAAAATCACCTCGTAAATGTATTTAAATTTACCAAAAAATTATCTCGCAAATATATTTAAATCCACGAGAAAGTATTCGAATATTCAAATTTATTACTTATTAAAAAAAAAATTATTATTTGATATAACGCGCGTTGTTTCGTACGTAATATTGGAGCTTTAATGAGTTTTTTCTTTAAATCTTACTTAAATAATATTGTACTCACAACATTCACACCAATCGTTTGCTCCCATTTCCAGTCATTAAGTATACCGGCATTGTTAATGACAACATCGACGCCATTCAGAGTGTTCCAGATCTTTGCGAAGGTTTCTACCAAAAATGAATGTTTGCATTCAATAATCATTAATTCTCGAATGTAAAAAAGAAGAAAAGAGAAAAAAATTCTTCTACGAAATTTTGCAAGTTTTTTTTTCCTCTCTTGAGTAATTGATTTATTTCTGAATACCTTCCATTTGTTGAACATTGCTCACATCGCAATGGAGATATACAATGCGTCCCTTTCCGAATTCTCTTTCCAGCTCGTTTACTCTGACCGCTATGGACTTGCTTTCTAAGTCGACGATAACGACAATCTATAAATAACATTAGGTTAGCTGAGCAAGTAGAGGAGATCTTCTCCTCGAGATCGATTTGTGAAAAATCTTACCTTCGCACCGTCCTGCAAGAACCGTTGAACAAAGACTAGACCGAGCCCATTACCCCCGCCGGTAACCAGGAAACTTTTGTTCTGTATGCGATCCATGATCTAGAAAAAGAAGACTGTCTCTTTCAATTTTCGCTTCGCCGAGAGACAAGAAGATTTTTTTAGTGCGTTTCTTTTTTTTTCCCCCTAGGACGTGATAAATGTTATATTTCTTTGATTGCGTGCAATCGTCTAGCACTCGATAACGAAGCGTCAAAGTTCTCGTTTAGATACAGCGCGTACGAAAATTATTTAATGATTTTTCTGGGAACGATGTTCAATTTGGGACAGTGTTAGCACTAAATGGGAGAAGATCGTGTTCGTGGTTGTTATTTATTGGCGTTTTGTTTACCAGTCATCCGTATCTATTATTTGTGTCGTAACACTTAGCGCCGTTGTCACACGTACAGTAGTTACTCGATTTATTTGTTATATTAAAGTTTAATCGATAGATTGAATCCACTTACTTGAACGAAACGTTTACCTCGATTACAGGGAGATGAGTTAGAGGTCTATCTTCCGATAAGCTTCCATATAAACGGAATTCTACCGTGTATCGTTATGATTGATACAGATGAGAATTACGAAGCACGGGGACCATTATGGGGGACTAATTTATCAACACACAAACTTTGGGAACGTTAAGTTTGTATTTGATAATAAAATCAAAGGTTCAAAGATCGAATGAACCTTCTTATATAAATATCTACAAGCTTCCTAAATTTACAAGAATTGCTTACTATCCAATCAAGCTTCGTATAATTGTTAGTTGTAGCACTCGAACTATCAAAGCGGTCAATTAATAATTTTTTACAGACATTTTTTGTAAACGGTGTATTTAAATAATTTTCCGCAGAACATATGAATAAAAACACTTGTACACACACTCTATTTTTCTTTCTCTTTTTTTTTTTTTTTTTTCATCTTCGATGTCTCCGATGGAGATTTTATGCTTTAATCGTCGGTAGCGTCAGTATCTAAACTATCGACAGAGAACTGCCGACTCGAAAATTAAACAATTAAAAATCTCTGAAGCAGTCCGAAATCGAACACGAGAGAAGCTCACTCACCGTGATTTTTGTGAGCGACCGGTGTTCGTCTCCGCAGCAATATTTAGAACTAAAGGAAAGAATGGTACTTCTGTTGGAGAGAAACCGGTTCTGTAGCAATCAGTTGCGAAGCAATGTATTATATAAAGAGACATATACACACATGAAATGTTCATGCAAATGCGTAATAGATATGTATAAGTGTGTACTCATTTTTGATTTAATTTTAATCACGCGGACGATAAATATAATCGTCCGATAAAAATGGCCTCCGATGTGTTGCGGTCGATGAAGCATATTTTCGTTCGCTCATTTCTCTCTTCTCTCTTTATTCCTTCAATTATAATTGCAGAACGTAATTACTTTACACACCGTCATTTACACATGTGCCATTTCTCAAATTTTTCAAATTTTTCAAATTTCGTTCTCGATTATCGCCAATCGTACATACGTTTGTACTTTACGTTACGTTGCACTACATCCTGTCTCAGAACGTCCAGTCTGAATTATTATTCAGATACGTAATATAATTACGTTTGTATGTGAATATAATTCCGGCGGCAAAACTGTTGAACAGCGATCGATGTATAAAATACGTTTGTATGAATTATCGCCTTTACTTGTTATCTTTTAGTAAGGAGTTGCAAATTTTTAATTGCCGAGGATCAAAGTCGTGTTAAATTGCGTCGCAATTCTGATTATTAATATCGCGTATCGTGCGAAAAAACAAAAATCTACTAATAATCAGTATCTTTCTCGTCGGTGTCTTTTTATACTTTTAAATTTTGCAATAGAAAATTGCAACAATTCGTTTCGTTCTTGATTCCTACGACGAGAAGATATTTGGTTTCGATATTTGGCCCGTCGTGAGTTGACAGATTTATCAAAAAGAGCTGAAAAGATATTAAATCTTTTTTAATAACCTTTTGCAGAGATCGTATGGTAACATTACACGCAAACGTTACTAGTTTAGACGTTACTGTACAAAATTTCACTTTTTAATTCTCGTCTCAAGCTTCCTATTTCAGTTTGAATAAGAATTTCTGTTATTTTAAATTCAGCTTCCCCCCCCCCTTCCCCCTCTCCCGGGGAAAAATACTTATGACATAATACATATCTTATCAAAATACATGTCTTCTATTTTGTTGACATTCTTGTCTAACGACTGTTATAAACGTAAACTACAACGCAGCATCGAATTAACAAACAATTTTCACTGGATAATTAATACGTGTCAATGGTTGAAAATGGATGAAAATCCAAGACCTAGGTTACATAAGCCCGCGTTGAAGTTTTAAGTTTTTATTCAGTATCATCGAACATTTTCCTCTTACGAGGAGGTAAACAAGTGTGAAATTTGGCGTAGT